AGCCATCAACAATGTTATTCAAGCCAGGTAGGAAACAAGGAATTTCACAGGCTAAAGTATTGTCTTACACAGTCCCTGTAACTGAAGTACTTCAGAACTGATATATAGGAAGAACTAATTCTAAAGCGAATGCTTCTTAGGGCATGTCTACGCTGTGATAATAGACACGCAGCGCGGCCACAGCTGGCCCTGGTCAACTGACTCAGACTCACACTCACAGGGCTCGAACTGCAGGGCTACAAAACTACAGTCTACATGTTTAGGCTCTGGCTGCAGTCCCTATGTTTTCCAGGAAATATCAAGAGTGGTGGATTCTGGTCTAGTCCTGCAGTCTTTCTACATTCAAGATCCATGGAACTTCAACTTACACTCATCACAATTGCATAATGAGGACCTAAAGTAGTAATTAAGTCAATGCCACACAGTGTGTTGGAAAAAAAGACAGCCTTATTTCCTAATTTTTATCACTGAAATACATATTCATAAATAGGAATTGCTCTTATCAACTTCTGCCATAACATCAATGTTCTTTCCGGGTGCTTTTTTTTCTGGGCAAGTGTGGGGAGGGAGATAGGAACTACCCTACCAAAAACTACCCAGACAAAAAGTTGTTTGATCCCTTGGTCATACTCTGATCTAATTTATACTTGTGTAATCCAGAATAACTGCACTGACTTCAATGGTATTATTCTGGATTTACAGAATTTTAATTAGATCAGCATTTGGTCCTTTGTGTATATGACATTTTTATTATTTATTTGTTTACACAACACAGCAGAATTTGTAAAGTGCCTATTTTAGCTTGTGCAATATCACCCAGATGAACATAATGAAAGACAAAACTGACTGACTGGCAAAGATTCAAGTTGTGCAGATATGTGGCATAACAGCACAGGACTGGAAATAAGTCAGTTAGCCCTCCTTAAAATCATTACACCTATCCCAGAAGATATATTGAACACATTTATATTTTTGGCCATATGCCTAACAATATACTTGAGAACTGCAGGTATTCTGTATAACCACACAGCTTCCCTTATTAATAAATTATTGCTTACCTACATAATAAAATATGTAATAACTCACTATTGAGTAATTATTTATTTTGGCTGAAATACTTTTCATAAGTTTGTATAAAAAGTAATTACTGCACAGTAAATACTTTTACATTTCATGTTTGATTTTAATTTTAAATATTGACAATAATACTTTGTACTTAGTAGAAAGTGTTCTCACCATTTGCATTATATAAAGAACTAGCTTCATTTTACAGATGGCATAGTGAAGCTAAGTGATTTGTCCAAAGTCACAGAGACTGTTGGTACAATGTTCTGAACCCAGGAGTTCCAATTCCCAATCTGTTAGATAACAGTGCCTCAGAAATTCTTCCTAAACAAATAAGGCATCTTGCACCACTTAAGTGAAGGAAATCTGTGTCACTGACTAGAACAGGCACAGAATCAGGCCCTTAAACAATTAACGTGGATAGGTGCTAAGTTTTAATTGACAATAAAACCATTTGAGATATAAAATGGTAAAAGTACCCCAATAAGGGGGAAAATATTTTTGCATTACCAATCTTATTATTAGAACATAAAAACGGCTATACAGGATCAGACCAAAGGTCCATCTAGCCCAATATCCTGTCTTCCAACAGTGGCCAATGCCAAGTGCCCCAGAGGAAATGAACACAACAGGTAATCATCAAGTGATCCATCCCCTATCACCCATTTCCAGCTTCTGGCAAACAGAGGCTACAGACACCATCCCTCCATTCTGTTATATGGGGCCTAATTTTTAGGAACCACTGCTCCTTGTGACTTTACTGGGAGTTGTAGGTGCGCTGTACCACTGAAAATCTGAGTCTTAAAACCGTAAAACAAAGGCAATTTGACATTGAGAAATGATTTATATAAACGCATTAATTCCTTGACTATGTCCATAGCCCAATCTTGCCTGCGTAGACAAGACTGAATTGTGTTTTAAACTTGTAGAATCATGGTAGAAACTCCAACTCCACCCCCGGTACAATCAATGTACTTGCATAGATTCCCCCTAAATGATTTATACCAGCCAGATGTTAAAAATGCTCTTGCTACTCTGTACAAAATGGCAAACCATGCCAACCTAATACTTTGGGGAGAATTAAACAACTATTCCATTACATAACATGTACCTAGTTAAAGCCTACTTGTAAATAATCTCCAGTGAAATACTAAGCTGGGAAGAAATATTTGAATTGCTTTTAATTCCTCATATCTCATCATCATTTACCTAAAATTGTACAGTTTTCAAGGAAGAAACTTCACTTTAATACAACTTTTAAAAACACCTGGCATATTGTTGGTCTATATAATTTGTGTTAAAATTTAATTTTTCCTATTATTTTCCATGGTCATAGGCATAACACCAGAAAGATAATGCATGGGACTCTTTCTGCCCTTCCCACCTGAAAAAAAACTCACAGTACCTGACAGCAGAGTCAGTGTCAAGAATCTCAAAACAAGCTTTTTTGCTTTGCAAACTTCTAAAAGTCTGGTTCTAGCACAAATTGTGGGACCTAGTGATACTTTTCATTTTTAAAGCACCTTTCACTGGAGGATCTTAAGGCACATTATAAAATACAGGCCCAATCTTATAAGTACTACAGACTACCATCAAGGGGCTGCTCACATTAGTAAGTACTATGTTTAGTAGTAGCCTTCTGCAGAATTGAGTCCTAATTAAACTTCATAACATCCCTTCACTCACCACTAAATTGCAGTGATGTCTAGAGTACAAAATGGCAGAGCAAAAGTTTCAGACAAGAAGTCAAACTATAAAAATCCAAATAAAACGGAGGGGAAAGCATAGGTAGGCAGAATGCAATTACCCAAAATGAAATCTGGCCAGGGCATCAGAGTTAATACCCCAGCTCTTACAAAAAAAATGCACAGAAATCTTAAATGATCACCAAAGAGCACCTCAGTTTTATGTATCATCTAAAAAAAAAAATGACACATTCAGCAACACAATGACCCCTACTCCTAGGTAGGACACCAAGGAAAGAGTGTCATCTTTCATCAACACCACATTCTACAGTACCTAGTTCTCAGCCAAGTATTCATTTTATTCTATTTAATTTGTGAAATTTGATGGGATCACAGTTTATGGTAGTATAACAGTTATTTTTGTTTAATATTTAATTTTTATAACTTTACTAAAATATGCTTAATCTGTTAATTAGTGGAAGTTGATCATTTATAGAAGATATTTCCACAAATTCTGGAAAAGTAATTATGTGTTAGTTTGCTAATCACTTTCTATCACTACCTCTCCAATCTCAGGCACAAAAAGTGAACTAGCACTGAGCCTCTGAGGTTGAAATATATCTAAAATATTTGTACTCAGTTTCAGAATTAGGAGGTTAAAAACCAGAACAAAATACAGCAGAAAGTGCAATGTAATTGAATGATCCCCTCTTAAAGTGTCAATATTCCTAAAATGAATGATTTCTTTAAAAAATTACTTGTGGACAAAATGTGGTCTAGAAATAGTGCTAAAAACCAGAACCCAAAACTGAACTTCAGTCTCAAGCTCTTGTTCTATATGCCTTCAAGTCTATAAGATGAAAGATTGTTGTGGGGACATGAGGTCCATACACAGTAAGGTTAAGCTAAGGTCACAATCCTGCAAGTTACAATGTGTGGTCAGAGCCCTGCATCCATGAAAAAAACCTACTGGATCTCCATATAGGCACAGAGGTCTTCCCATTCAATGTAATTTGCAGGATTGGGACTTGAACTAGTACCATCTATCCTGTCCAGTTTTCACTACCCAACAGGGTCCCCTAAAGTGGCTAAAAGGTCCCCTCATTGTGAGGGCAATACCAAAGGTTACAGAGCCATATAGCGGATGCACAGCATGGTGTATAACAGCAGTTCTCAGCCAGAGGTCCAAGGCCCCCTGGGGGGCAGCAAGCACATTTCAGGGGGTCAGACCAAAAAAACCAAAGCGCAGAGCCAGGGTTAGAGTTGCTGGAGCCCCAGGGCAGAAAGCAGAGCCCCACCGCCCAGGGTGAAGCCTGAGCAACTTAGCTTCGCGAAGCCCCCTGCGCCATGGTGCCCGGACAATTACCCTGCTTGCTACCCCAAGGCCAGCTTGGCTTTTAATCTTCTGGATATGCAGAAAAACAGTTGTTGTGACACAAGTGGGACATGGAGTTTTTATAGCATGTTGGGTGGGCTTCAGAAAGAAAAAGGTTGAGAACCGCTGCTGTATAACATAGGAGGGTGGGCTCTCGTGGAAAAAATTGTAGGTGTCACTATTTTAGGTTTTCTCTGCAATCGTCTTACTGTCTCACACAAAAATGATAGTTTTATTTACAGAAACCATATTTGTGCTGTGGACCTGGGTAAAAGGAATAAAAACCAACTTTGTCCAAAGTTAGCCCAACCTGGACAAAGAATACATGGGAAAAGAGGTGTACCCCGAGGGGAGGGCCTAAAAATCAGCAAAGTTCATGGTGTTTTTAGATCGCCATACCCCCAGCGCAGTCACAAGTTAGGGGGAAGTGTGCCAGAGGATTGATAGCCTTCCCACACGCCACTGACTTCCCAGCAGTAGCCTCACTGAACCCATGTATTACATCTCAGTAAGTGCGCTCCCGGGTACCAACTGCAGGGCATAAAGCGGGGGCCACCTTGACAGCCGGGCATAACTAACACCCCCACGTGTGGGCAGCAGGCACTTTCGGGGACGTGATGCCGCCGCTTTCCCCGGCCCTCACCTCAACGCACGGAGCAGCAGAAGCGGAGCCACCCCTGGGAGGGAGCGTGTGTGCAGGGCGGGCACCGGGGGGTTGCTGAGAGGGGAGCGCCGGGCGGGGAGGGGTCTCTATGGGGAGCAGGAGACCCAGCGGGGTTTCTGGATGGCGGTCTTTGGGCGTGAGCAGAGGGACCGCGGCAGGCTCACCACAGAGCACTAGGCCGCTGATGACGACCCCCCTAGGAGGATGTTACCTCTCCTGGAGCCCTCGCTACCGCTGGCTGGCGTCTCCCCGGGCTCAACGGCGCCGGCAAAGGCCGGGAAAAGAGCCATGGGCTGAACCACAGCTTCCTCCCCTCTTGCTTCCCAAGGAGACCCCGGCCGCCCAACGAGGCAAGATGGCGCCGCTCGCTGCCCCAGCATGCTGGGAAATGTAGTCCCGCCTGCCCCTGCTCCCAAAATGGCGTCGGGGGGAAGTCACTGGGCAGCTGTACAGCTCCAAGGCTGGCTGGACATGCGGATGCTCCCGCTCGTGGGGGGAGCAAAAGGAAGACGCCCCGGCAGCCTCCTCGCGATCATCCAATCGCTTCCCGCGCCAGTTCTCTCACTCATGGGAGAGGGCGGATTTTGCCCAACAGTTTAGGCCTGACACCCTTTGGGGCTCTCTCAGTGTTGGAGAGATACGCTCCCCTCTGCAGCCCTGACTCCCCTCCACACACCGGGGTGTGCTGCTGCTTAGGAAAGCCACTTAAGTGCCTTGATTTCCATGGGTGAAAAGCTCTGTTTTGATATGTGAATGTGCAGCCTCCACACACATAGGCGCTGACTCCAGGGCTGGAGCACCCAAGGGGAAAAATTAGTGGGTGCTCTGCACCCACTGGCAGCTCCCCACCCCAGCTAGCCTCTACCTCCTCCCCTGAGCGCGCCACCGCGTTCTGCTTCTCCCCCCTCCCTCCCAGCGCTTGCACCACGAAACAACTGTTTTGCGTGGCAAGCGCTGGGAGGGAGGGGTGAGGAGGAGGAATGTGGCGTGCTCGGGGAAGAGGCTGGGGCGGGGATTTGGGAAGGGGTCCAATAGGGGTAGGGAAGGGGCGGAGTCAGTGGGGGGGGGTGCAAGCACTAAGGAAAGTTGGCGCCTGTGTCCACACACAGGCTTCCCATCCTTCCTGAGCAGAAAGGGACACCTCTCCTACAGTTCTTCTCTGGCTCATAGGTGCAGAGGGGGAGCAAACTAGGGTGACCAGGTGTCCAGTTTTTGACCAGAACACCCAGTCAAAAAGGGACCCTGGTGTCTCCGGTCAGCACCATTAGAAGTCTGGTCTGCGGGGCTAAGGCAGGCTAGTCCCTACCTGTCCTGGTGCAATTCTGTTGACTTCAATGGAGCAATACCCATTGGATGCATTTAGCCCAATAGAACATGTATTTCTATAGCTGCGATTTTCCTACAAAACAGATTTCAGTAAAGTTGTATGAATATTGTTTATTAAGCTCTCTGGGACAAAAAATACCTAATAAATGTAAAATATTACAGAACAGATATTTTACTCTACCGAGCCAACCTTTTTCTCAGCCTTTAGTAAAGCCACTGACAAAAGCATCTCTTGATGTCTGATACCTAATATTGAAAAAAAATCTGAAACTTTAGTGAAGTGGAGCAGCTAATTTTAATAAAGCCTGATTGATTTATAAGGATGATACTAAGCATTATTACTTCAATTCTATCCTAATAATTTTCTTTTGGATTTGAGCATCTACATTCAGTAATGACGTGATCCCATAAGACTCCCAATTAGTGGGGCCTTTTTTAGGTTTCATTAGTTCTGTAAGTAGAGTTGTACAAACAGAGAGAGTGAATATCTCTTTCTTAAGAGGAAAGTTATACATATTTATTAGATAAGTTAATTGTTGGGATCCCTCAAGACCCTCTTCCACTCGGTTCCCAAAAACTCAGTTTCTCAATTTGATTCTGGAATTTGTCACTTAGGTACCTTTATTTGGCATACAGCAACACTGCACCCAGGCTGGCCAGACTCAAACACATGGATGATGCAGGGTGCAGCGCAAATTCAAAGTTACACAGCAAAACTTTTCCATATATACATCTTTACTAACATCTGCATTCCCAACTATACATTGCATCATGGGATTCATGATTCACTTGATTACTGTTCAGGAACCAATCTCTGTACTGTATGCTCTGTCCTTGCGCAGTTCATGATTGCTGCATTCCAGATTTATCTTGTCCATTGTCCCTAGTACCAAGGTGTTCCTGCTTATCTTAGCTAGCCTGACTCCAGCCTAATGCTTGTTACGCCCTTATTTACAGCTTAATCTTCCATTCCCTTCTCAGTCATGCCCCCTGAGAAACGAGGTCTTACTTATGTCAAGTTACTTATGTCAGGTTAGGCCTACACTAATAAGAGGGTGTTTGAAAAGACAAAATCAATTTTCTCAGAAAGCCCATCAGGTTCAGCACTCCTCCCAACTACTACGGGAAGAGCCTGAGTAGGATTTTTAATTTCCCCTTTAGTTATATCTGCCCCTAGGAACTGTTGATATACAAACCTTTGAGATTTCAGAGACTCAGGAGTAATATATATTAGCACTGCTTTCACCTTCAGCTTCATAGGGAGGTAAGCTTTTCGTTATGGTTTCATTTTTAGCAAGTCATCAAATCCCTCATGACACCTATGTATAGAGTGAATGTATTTCTGTCTGCCTCTTGTTAATCAAATAAGCTATGTAGCCTCTTACTTAAAATTTCTGTGGAATGAACTTGTTAACATTACATCTGTCTGACAATAATGGAAGATGGCAACCATTTTTATTAAAGGCAATATTTAACAGTTTAGAAGCCAGAAATCAGATAATCATGTGACTCCCTACTGATATGTATGTATTGTAAGAATCTACAAAATCACAAGAGTTGGGAGCTGTATCAGGGAGAATAAAATTACTCCATTTCTTCAATGGAGTAATTTTACCCACATAGCTGGGGGGATAGTTGGGTGTATTTACATACACTCCCTTGCATGAGATCTGCAAAACCCACAATAACACAAGTTCCTCTCTCTTTTCTTCTCTCCATCTCTCCAATAACATTACTCCCAGCCACTTCTCCTTCGGGGAAGTTCAGCAGGCTTCCATCCTGTTCTCCTTCTGATGCCTTGTCGACACCCCAAAGTTCAATCATCCTAGTGTGATTGCAGTTATACCTGCAAAAAATGCTTATATTGATATAGCTTATTCCAGCATGGGAAGGGGAATAAGATTGACCAATATAAGGCACCTTTATAATGTTATTACTATGTCCACACTAGGGGTTGTAATAGTCTAAATATTTCCATAAAAAATCATAGCCCCTAATTGATATAATTATTTAGCACAAAGTCTGTGTGTACACCAGCCCTTAGAAATATTCTTCAGACATGCCAAGTTTCCACTCTCCCTCTACATTTCCCCCTGTCTCTTTTCAGGCTTCTCTCACTGTGAAATTCCTCAGTTTCTTCTATGTCCCAGCATACCCTTTCCTCTTGGAGTTCTTCCTTCTACCAACTCTGCCTGTTGTCCAGGAGCGCTCACAGCTCCCCGTGCCTCCCCACCCAGTGTGTTTCCCTTTCAACCAAAGCTCCTCCTATTCCCTTCCAAAGCTCCTCTTGTCACTCCCTTTCTTCCAGGCTTCTCTATATCCCCTTCTCCTTTCCCCAAGGCCCTTAATCATTATGGGGAAGAGGTGAAGCAGTGCTCAGTGGCTGCTGCTCTGGACTGGTAGTCAAATCTCTTCTCTGATGGCTCACCTCTCAGCCTACTTTTCCTAGCTGTTCTCTCTATTCATGCAAACAAGTATCATGTATGCAAACACCAAGCGCCGTGATAGTTGCTGAAAGGCTTCATGGAACAAGTGCCTTTGGGGAAAACCTTGCAGGCAAAGTCTTACCTTGTACTTTTCAATGTCTTTTATGGACTTTGCCTGCAAGGTTTTCCCCAAAGGCACTTGTTCCATGAAGCCTTTCAGCAACTATCACGGCGCTTGGTGTTTGCATACATGATACTTGTTTGCATGAATAGAGAGAACAGC